TGGAAGTTGTACATGGCAAGGAGGATGTCTTTTTGTCTAGGTTCACCCTGACCGAGGCTTGGGTAGTGCAAGATATTCTAGCTGTTGATGAGGGACTGTATGTTAGCACGCAATCCGTCTACCTCATGAATAAGCTTCAACATGTACCCGAAATGGGATTGGAAAGAAGTGGCCGGAAAGGTGTCGCTGAATTGGCCGAAGTGCCACACAACCTTTATACCTTTGGTCTAGGCTACACGCCTACCAAGGAGGATTGGGCAAGGAAGAGAAAGGAGATGGCGGGAAGAGCTAAGGCTAAACAAGCTGGGAAACACTATGAGTTGGTGCATAGACCTATTCAAGGAACTCTGAACGGACGCTTTGTCCGGTAGGGGGAGGATTTCCCATTTTGTGGCTTTCCGGAGCCGTGGTTGAATTCTGAGAAGCGGCGCTTGCCCGGCTTCGAGATCTTTTTTGACTTACAGTTGTAAAGGGATGAAATTGTAGAAGAGCAAACTGACCTACCAATTGTGGCTGAGCAGTGCAAAAAGGATGAGTTTGATGGCACAGAACTTGAAATGGGAGCAGTACTGGCTTGTCTCCTCTCGGATCCTTAGATCACACCAGAGAGCTTGGGGGATGACTTCTCTATTTCCATGATTGGGGATCAAACGGCTGTGGGCCCTTCTTATAGCATTCTGGACGCATCCATCGCACCCTCCCTCGTTTCGCAGTACGAGGAAGGCTTTTTGTCTAGCAGTTCTGGGTCAGGTAGCGAACCAGAATCTGATTCTACAGAGTCTATGGAGTCGGAATCAAATTCTAGTTCTTCTGAGTCAGAGTCCGGTATTCCTGGGAGTGATAACCCGGATGCCGTTGTCTTGTCCAGGTCGTCTTTTTCTTTTTCCTTTGAGTCGGTTGTAACCGAGGAATCAGACAAACTGGAAGTTGTTAATGAGAATGGTAAAACTGCTGCTTTTGAGTACTTTTCTGTGCTGCTTGTTCATTGCATTAATCAGGGCTTTCAAAACTTTGATGAAAACGACGAAGAAGAAATTCCTCTGGTTTTGAAACATTTGATTGATCGAGAAGAGGAGAGGTTTGTAAAACCTTTGGTTGATGAAATCACTTCAATTAATGTTAGTACTGAGAAGGATCCGCGTCTAGTCCAGATCAGGTCCACGTTGTCTTCGGAGGGATGTGAGCGCTTAGTCGCTTTATTAAAAGATTTCAAAGATGTTTTCACGTGGTCTTACAAAGACATGCCTGGAATCGATCCTGAGATTGTACAGCACCGGATCCCTCTTGACCCTAAGACCCGACCCGTCAAGCAGAAGCTTCAGAGAATACGCCAGGATTGGGCTTTGAAAATCAAAGAAGAGGTCACCAAGAAGATTGATGCAGGGTTCCTGTTAGTATCCGAGTATTCTACTTGGTTGGCCAACATTGTTCCGATGCCGAAGAAAGATGGCAGAATTCGGGTGTGTGTGGATTTCAGGGATCTGTACAAAGCCAGTCCGAAGGATGACTTTCCATTACTGCACATCGACGAGTTGGTGGACTTCACTACTGGGCATGCGCTGCTTTTCTTTATGGATGGGTTTTCCAAGTACAACCAAATCTTGATGGCAACCGAGGATAAGGAGAAGACTGCCTTTACGACCTTGTGGGGAACCTACTGTTACAGGGTGATGCTGTTCGGCTTGAAGAATGCTGAGGCTACTTATCAACGGGCTGTAACAACGATCTTGCATGATATGATCCACAAAGAGGTTGAGGTGTACGTGGACGACATGATTGTCAAGTCCAAGGAAAGAGAGGGCCACTGCATCGCCTTGAAGAAATCTTTCCAATGGATCAGAGAGTATCGGTTGCGACTGAATCCTCAGAAATGTAGTTTTGGTGTTACAGCAGGGAAAATGTTGGGGTTCTTAATTACACAAAGGGGCATTGAGGTTGATCCTTCCAAGATTAAGGCCATCTTAGAAATGCCACCACCAAGGACTGAAAAGGAAGTGCGAGGCTTTCTAGGCAAAGTGAAATTCATATGACGGTTTATTGTAAAATTAATCTTGACTTGGGAACCACTATTTGGTCTCCTGAAGAAAGGAAAGAAATTCCAATGGGATGACTGATGTCAAGTTGCTTTCGAACAGATTAAGCAGTATCTACAGAACCCACCCGTGTTGTCACCGCCAGAGCCGGGGAAACCGTTGATTTTGTATCTGTCAGTAACCGACACGACAATGGGCGACATGCTTGTGCAGGAATTTGAGGATAAAGTGGAGAAGGCTATCTACTACCTGAGCAAGAAGATGTTAGAATATGAGACCCGTTACACTCCGCTTGAGAAGGCTTGTTTGGCCTTGGTATGGGCTACCAAAAAGTTAAGGCACTACCTGTTAGCTCACTTCGTAATTCTGGTTTCGAGATTAGGTTCCATTAAATATCTCTTGAAAAAACCAGCACTTACGGGTAGGCTAGCCCGTTGGTTGCTTCTTCTCTCCGAATTTGATTTGAAGTATATGATTAGCAAGTCTGTGAAAGGGAGAGCGGTAATGGAGTTCCTAGCCGATCACCCAGTAGAGGGAGATGAAGTAGTAGAGTATCTATTTGCAGATGAGGGTATTCTATAGGTTGAAGAAGAGATTTGGACTATGTACTTTGACAGAGCGTCTAACCAGTTCAAGTATAGGATAGGGGTGTTGCTGATAGCACCTGACAATTCCCACATACCCTTAGCTTTCAAACTTCGGTTCAAGGTATCAAACGACGAAGTAGAGTACAAGACATGTATTGCTGGCTTGGAAGCCGCCCTAGAACTAGGAGGAAAACGGTTGGATGTCAATGGGGACTCGAACCTGGTTGTGTCTCAAGCGAAAAGAGACTGGAAGGTTAAGGAAGTAAGGATGAAAATCTATCACCAAACTCTGGACATTCTAATTCCCCGATTTGAGAAGTTAACCTTCACCCATCTGTTAAGAGAGAGCAACAGGTTTGCTGACACTTTATCAACTCTATCTTCCATGATAGACATCCCTTTGGGAGTTCGGATGCGTCCAATCATTATTAAACAAAGGTATGTGCAGGCAACGAACTGATTGCTGCCATAGATGAAACACAAGATCAAAACCTTTGGTACTTTGACGCCTGGAACTTCTTGGAAAAGGAGGCTTATCCGCTAGGGGCAAATGCCAAAGATAAGAGGGCGATACGACGAATGGCTGCTCAGTTTATCATCTGTGGGGGTAAATTATACAAAAAGAGCCATCTGGGAATGCATAAACTGTGTGTCGATGCTAAAGAGTCGAAGCGCCTGATGGAGGCCATCCACGGAGGAGAGTGCGGATCACACATGAGTGGGGTAATGCTAGCTTGGAAGATTCTGAGACAGGGTTACTACTGGTCAACCATGGAAGAGGATTGTATCGATTTTGTTCGGCGATGCCACAAGTGTCAGATCCATGCAAATCGCATGAACATCCCGCCGTCGAAGCTGGCCGTTTTCAATCTGGGGAATTGATGTTTTTGGGGCAGTTACTCCAAAAGGGTCGAACAGGCATGAGTACATCCTGGTGGCGATAGACTACTTTACAATTTGGGTCGAGGCCCAATCCTATGCAGTGCTGGAAGCATCACACGTAGCCAAGTTCATTAAGAACAACATTATCTACTGTTATGGGGTCTCGAATGAGATTATCTCAGACAATGGTTCCCACTTCAAGAAGGAAGTGATCGACTTGTTAGAAAAATACAACGTGGCTTTTCATAAGTCATCCACATATAGGTCGCAAACCAATGGAGCAGTTGAGGCCGCCAACAAGAACATCAAGCACATTCTACAGAAGATGGTGGAAACCTACAGGGACTGACCAGATAAACTGTCGTTTGCTCTTTGGGGTTACAGAACATCGATTCAGACTTCTACTGGGGAAACTCCGTATTCTCTGGTTTATGGGATGAAGGCTGTTCTGCCAATCGAAGTAGAGGTTCCATCGCTGCGGGTGATGGCAGAGTGCCAAATAGCAAAAGCAGATTGGCAGCAGAGTAGGTTTGAGGAACTCATGTTGTTCGATGAGAGGAGGCTGAAAGCACTATACCACATTCAAGGTTATCAACGCAAGATTACCAGGGCTTTTAACAAGAAAGTTAAGTCCAGGAATTTGAAAGAAGGGGATTTGGTGCTCAAAGACAACCGAGCTCCCATCCACGACCCTAGGGGCAAGTTCAGACCCAATTAGACTAATTCTTACATCATTAAGTCTATTTGGTCGGGTGGAGCAGTCATTCTTATGGATTTAGATGGCCTTGAGTTCTTCCAACTAGTCAACATGGACAAGTTGAAGAAATACTACCCTTGAGTGGCTCGTTAGGCCGAAAACCCGAAAGGGCGACCTAGGCGAAAGTTAGAGCACAAAAAATTAGAAATAAGAAAAACTGAGCTTGCAAGGTTGAAAACCCAGAAAAGGTGGCCTTGGAAAAAGTTAGAGTGCAAAAGGAGAGTGTTAATACCCGAGTGAACCCGCACCGAACCACGCAAGGCTTGATTCCCATCTTTGGGATACGTAGGCAACTTCATTCTAAAGTCTAGCCATAAATGCTTCCAAATCAACTGTGTCCACGTGATTGTTTTGGTCATCTTTGTCTTTTCTGCATCCAAGAGTTCGATTGTGAGCTACAGTGTAGTGCTATTTAGACAAGGGGCAACTTTCCAGTTATTCGATTTGGGGTTGTACATCTCAGCGATAGATCTTGGGTGTATCCAGTTGTGATCCATATCGAAAATGGTTTTGAAAAGTTTTAATAAAAGTTGATTTTGTTCAAATTAATCTTTTTACAACTTAGACCATTTTTGGACTAAACAGAAAATTTTCAGTACCCACAACCTTCAATTTCATTGATTTCAACACAGAGTTCTCCGACTCTCGATACAAATTGAAGTTGCTTTTTATTACATTCAAAAGAAAACTTGAAAGTACAGATTACAGCAATAAACTTGGGGCATAGTCAAGTGTTCATGCGCTACTTCCCAGAGCTTGTGGAAGCCTCAGATGCCAAAGTAGGCCCAGTTTGTGCCTCATCTTCAAGCCAAGCTATGCACTCGCCAGAAAGGGCACAACTGAAATTGGGAGCGGGGGCCAGAGGTTCTTTTGTTCTCCATGCAGTAGGGTATCGAGCTAGCTGTGAGCCTCGGACTGGAAATGAAGCTGGGTACTCTACCCTTTTTTCTGGGCAAGTCTGGTTGTGACCAAACCGACGCCGGAACCGGAATCGGAAGTAGAAGACGTAGTGCGTCAAGCCAACCAACTGGATGCCAGGCTGTCGGGACATACTGTAGCACATCTCAGGAAGATCAAACCATGGACAACGCCAAGCGATGTCAACAGCAGACCTGTTGCACATCCAGTGACACCACCACCCTTCGTTCGGGAAATCAACGAGTCGTTGGCGAAAGAAAAAGCCGCGCGCTGAATATGCGGGACAAGAATCCACTACTTTCAACTTCTCCATGAGCCATACCTGGGGAGGGATGAAAAATAAGAGAGATTATTGAAATTACAGAGAGCTCTCTAATTTTCAAAACTGTGTAATAGAATTCTTTGGTTCCTATATACAAGGGGAAACAGACTTGGATTTAAACTTAGCTTCGAAAAAGATGTTTCACATATAAAGGTGCCAACACACTTTTGCATATATAGAAGGTTGTGAATACTTTGAAATAGAGCAAGCCACTTTGTGAAACATATATATATATATTTTTTGATAAATGCTTTGTGAAACATATTATTGGAATAGTCTCCTGAATAATCTACTATGCAACTATAGAAAGAGAGGGAAATAGAGATTTGTTTTTTTGACAACCTAGTTTTCCTAAATTACTGAAATATTGGAATTTCTATTTTCCTAGTTTGCTTTCCTTAGCATATTTAATTTGATACTTATTTTATTGACTTAGACCACAAAAAATGGTATTTAGGCAAAAAATCATAAAATTTATAATGAAATAACCCAACCAATACAAAACAATGCTTCCAAATTAGATTGGGTATGATTGGATCTAGATTGAGATTCCACTATCCTACAAGATCCAACTATTACAATCAAAAAGTCCTACTTACATGGGATTTTTTAGAAGACCTATAACGATTCCAGTTTTTAACCCGTCTCTTGTAGTATTCTGGACTCTGGTTGTATGGGTTTGAAAGGTTATTCATGTCTTGTTTTTCTTGTCTCACCTCTATTTTTTGTTATCGGATTGTAATTGTACGTTTGGAAGAGGTTGGTTGCTTTCTTTTCAAAACCTGTGTTGCCCAGATTTCGGTCTCTCTGCTCGAACGGGCACTCTTGCGCTTAAGCGGGCTTCACAAATTTTGCTCCTCTGCTTAAGAGGCCATTCCCACGGTCGAGCGGAATTCTTCAACTCTTAGCATTTTTTTTAAGGTTTGTAGATGCTGGAGAGTGCATTCGACGCTCGACCGTCCAGTTTCACGCTCGAGCGGGAGTCTGTGTTTGACACTCGAGCAGGGATTCTCACGCTCGAGCAGGGACCTTCATCTGCAGAATTTCTGGAAGTATGTATTTCATGCTCGAGCGACACTTTTCACACTCGAGCGGACTTCTGTGTCTGACGCTTGAGTGTCACTTCCTAAGCTCGAGCGGACTGCGTGTATAACAGTCCGAGAAGATGAAATCATGAATCTCTCTCTAAAACTTTTCAAAAAGCTTGTTCTTGAGCCTCTCTCTATAGAATCCACCTTCTCTCTAGGATTTCATCTAGATTTGTTAGGATTTCTACCCTAGTGCCTTTGAGAAAAAGGTAGAGCTCATCAAGATCTTCGTTTTGAACCGAGTAGAAATGTGTTTCGGCATTCTTGGAACTCCACATTTGCTTGACTCGTCTTTTCTCTTTGATGTAGGAATCTTTCTACACCTTCATATGATATTTAGCTTAGTTATTGTCATTTGTGTAACAATGGTGTGATTTGGGGATGTTTAAAACAAATCTAGGGTTTGGAACATAAAATACAAAGAGGGGTTTTGGGTGTAGGTGAAATTAATGTTTGTGGAGTTTGAAAATGATGTTGCTCTATGTCTAACTTGATGATTTTGGCACTTGATTAATATTTTGGAGGGGGAGAATTTTCCCTAATTGAATTTAAACTATTATTTTGTACAAAAATTGGAATTGGCATTGGAAATGTGAAATTGATAAGGTGTTGATATAAATGGCGGAATTGGTTATATATTAACTTATTTTTTTGGAAATCTTGAATAAACTATCTGTCGAGGTTGAATATCTGTTTAGAGATATCTGTATTGGGCTATCGATGAAAGAAAGCTTTGATTGTTGTAAAAATTGCATGTGGATTAGGTAAATTGAAACTAATCTTTTGATGGTTGTCATTGAATATGACCGTGGTTATATACATTGTATATGTATGTTTGTTTGAAAGTAGAAAGGAGATGTGCTTCATGTTTGATTATCTTTTTAAATACATTGCATATGTATGGATATTTGTTTGGGAGGAAAAAGAGGGTAGACTCCACTATAATTAAGTTGGTCGGAGTATCCTAGGTGAAAGTCCGGAAATTATACATGGCTGCCTAGCCCGCGGACGAAATATCCGTAAAATGGCAATTGTAGTGCTTGTATAGCTTACGTTTACATGGGTCCCGTTTGACGGCTGCCCACAGACGAAATATCCGTGAAATGGAAGTTTGAAGTGTTTATGCATGTGTTGTATGGTTTGAAAATGAGTGAGTTGAAATCTCAGTTCAGTTGTTGAGAAATAACGAAATTGACTCATGAATGGAGACAAATAAGTGAACGGAATAAGAATGAAAAGTGAATGGATCAAGACTTGAAATTGATATTTTATGAGTATATGTATAATTGTGAAAAGTTTTGACACAAACATTGTTTATGCACTTGTACTTATACCTTTGTTAAGTTTCATATACCGTGTTAGATGATTTCTACTGGGCTGTGGCTCACCCTATTTGGGAATAACATTTTCAGGTATTGGTGATTTATCTCCACCAAGGCAATAGCATTGGAGGGACCTTTGGAAAGCCAGAGCTTCATGTTTTGTTTCTTTTGTAAGCCTAGGGCTAATTTTGTACTGAGCGAAGCTCATTTTGCTGTAACCAAGTCGACGCTTGGAAAGGTGTAAGTCATTCAAGCATCTATTTTGTTGGACTCTTTGGTATCATCAACTTTTATTGTAATGAAATGAATATTTACTCCGATTTATGCTATCATTTACATATGTCTGTGGATGTATTTATGTTACTTTTTTGGGGGTGTGACAACTTGGTATCAGAGTTTACCGGGTTTGAATACTTTAGGTACGTGATAAGTGGTTAGTACAACAATGGGTTTGTCTCGCTTGTTAGAGACTTAAGTATAGACAATATGTGCTTATATAACATGCTTATGTGATTATTTGGGTATGGGATTGAATTTCTTGGATATTGATTGGGTCTACAGGTTTCTAGGAGTCTTACTAGAAAGGCACTTGATCACTACTATTTCTAATTGGAACTCTAGCAACACCGCGGGACAGTCATTATCCGGAAATGAAATTCGTATGTGCTTACGTGCTTATGTGCTTATGTGGAGTGAATTACTTTTGTCCAATGTATTGGGACGTGAGTGAGTTAGCTTCGGTACATTTGCAAATGTGCTAACCTCTTTTGTTACCTTTATTAGGATGTCAGGACGTGGTCATGGAGGTAGGTGTGGTAGGCCTAAGAGGCACAAGGTGCCCATACCGGATGAAATTTCGGCTCAGGAAAAAGGGGTGGTCAAGCCAACGTGGCCGAGCCAGTGGGTCAGTAGGCCATAGGCGCCTTAGCCCGCAAAATGGCCCGAGCATTGAGAGAATCAATGGACGTTCTCAGAGCGGAGAATCAAGTCCAAGCCCAGGTAGCTGAGTCAGGGTCTTTTTTCTGAAGAAGGAGTTTTTCCGGTCGAATCCGGATGAGTTTTTAGGTGACCCAAAGAAACCACTGAAGGCTGATGAGTGGCTGGAACAGATGGTAAAGACCTTTGAGATGCTGGGCATCGAAGACGGGGGTTTGAGAGTGACCTTGGCGTCCTTCCAGTTGAAGGGAGACGCAGGTCAATAGTAGAAGTATGCGCGGGGACATATTGGGGGGACTTGGGAGGCTTTCATTAACGCCTTTCAGGACAAGTACTTGCCTCCCATTGTTAGGAAGAAGTTGAGGGATCAATTTTCTCGCCTCAAGGAGTTGAACACCCCTGTGGCCGAGTTTGAGGCCACCTTCACAAGCCTCTCTAGGTTTGCACCTGAGTTGGTGGCGACTAAGGAGCGTCGTTGTCTAGAATTCGAGAAGAGGTTGAGAACTGGACTCATGTTTCGAGTGGCCGGGTCTATGATTAGGGATTATGGGCACCTTGTGGAGGCAGTGGCCCATCTTGAGACTGTTATGTAGGCTAAGGAGGAGAGGATAAGGAGCTCCAGAAGGAGTCAAGGCAATCAGGGGGACTGTAAGAGGTAGAGGAGTTCTAACCATCAGCAGTCCCAAGGAGTTCAGTCGAGGTCTACCTTTCTAGTGCCTAGCTCGGGTCCTGGGAGAGGCGGTCAGAGAGATGTGACTTGCTTCAAGTGTGGCTAGTTGGGTCACAAGTCTCCGACTTGCCCGCAGAGAGGAGGAGGACAGCGAACAACTTCGTCTTCGGCTCGTTCTCAGGGCCAGAGTCAGGGTAGAGGACAGCCGCCCACTTCTTATCAGTGTAGTCAGGCGGGGCACCTGAAGAGGTCTTGCCCACAGTTGGGTGGCACACCTGGTGTGTCTGGTTCAAGACAGACATAGAGTCACCAGCCTACACAGTAAGCACAGGCCTCGAGAGCCAATCAGGGAGCTTCTTTGGCTCAGTCAATGCAGCAGGCCTATGCTCCGAGGGATGAGCAAGTAGATCAGAGGCCAACAGGGCGTGTATGCTGTTACCGCGCCAGATCTTGTACTTGTTCCTTCAGTAGTGAGAGGTACCTTCTTGTTTTGCAATTCAGTTGCTAGTGTATTGATTGATATGGGTGCATCCCATTCTTTTATCTCATCTGCATTTGCATCAGTTTTGGGGTTGGAGTTGGCACAGTTAGCATCTCCTATTTGTGTAGAGTCACCTATTGGTGGCGAGGTCATTATGAAATAGGGGTGTCAAGGTTGTGATATAGAAGTTGCCGGTCGTCAACTTCCTTTTGCATGTCTTGCTTGATATGACAAGTTTTGATGTTATCCTGGGTATGGACTGGTTATCGTCATACCGGTCTGTTATAGATTGTTATCGTCAGAGGGTTACTGTATGTGCCTCGAGTGGCGACTGCTTTTATTTCTTGGGGGACCGGGTGGATAGAATTTTATCACCAGTGTATGATCCGCGTGGGCGGAGTGAACTTAGTTGTCTCCTTACTAGTCTTCCGAATAGTGAGTATGATGAAGTCCAGGTTGAGTTGCTGAGGGTGGTCTGTGAGTATCCAGATGTCTTTCCTGAA